GATAATAAATAATGTTAAAATGCATTCAGTTCACATTATGAGATTCTAAGAAGTTACTTATTTTTACTGTAAAAAAACATCTTATTTTCCGTCTTATTGACTTATAACACTCGTCTTATTTCCCATCCTATTGTATTTTATTGATAACACTGATATTATTTCCAAATGTACTTTATCTTCCTTTCTGTTTCATTCAAGTCTTATATTGATTTTCTTCAAATATCTAATCAACTTTTACTCGTGTATATAAACGAAGCAAAAACGCTATGTGAGTACCCTGGTGTGATCATGAGCAACAAATTGTGCTCGAAACGTCATCAGTAAATGTTAGTGTATGACACTGTATGATTTTATCAAAATAAAATTGTATCCATAATGGAGGATTGGAAGTCGTATGAACATACTGACATGATTATGAGCAATAAATTGTGCTCGAAACGCTATCCGATTGTTAATATTACTGCTTGTTTTATCAAATAAATGTAATTATTATTCTAATACAGTACCGGAATCTCATCTCATGCAATAATCCTGAAGGTCTTATTGATTTCGGAGATAGATTCCACTGCAGAACGAAATCTGCTAGAAAAAAAGCTTCTGAAAACCAAGAAGCATCGAATGTTCATCCTGCTCGTTGTTTGATGACTACGCTTCAGTATCCATGATCTTCTAAAGAATCAAATTCATAAACAATTTGTTTCATGGAGCACGTGTTGCCACTGAAGAGCAGTGATACGTGACCCCCTAATTCTTCCAGTTCGCGATGCAGTTCGGCTTTCATTCAGTTCTACCATTGAATATCTTTATTCACAACCAACTTGTTGTACTTCGATTGTCTCAACTTCACATTTGGATGTCAAGAAATCGATCTCAAAGTTATTTACTGGTGATAAGTGGGTTGCAGAATTTTATAGTACTCCCACCTCTCAATATAGACGTAAATATATATATATATATATATATACATATACTGAAATCAGTCAAATATATGAAAACCCACCAACTAATTTAGTAAACTTACTGAAATTTTCGGTTTCATTTTAACTGAAATATATTTGTGCAATTCATAAGTAGTTAGAGTAAGAAGGAAAAAGGTTGAACTTGACCTTCATCAGCCGATGTTTCGCGAACTGATGATTTCAAAAATTAAGTCAATAGTTCATCATCTTATTTGTCTCAACACTAAACAAAATAGTAATTTTAGTACCATATACAAATTACGTGATTTTTCTGTTACTATTATATGCTTTCTTCCATGATACAGTATTCATTATTCGGAAAATATCTTAACAAGTAAATCTAAAACAGCTGCTTGGTAGGTAGCAGCTGGCAATGGAATCCAAGAATTGCACTTCATCCTACTCAGGAGTCGTCAGCTGCAAGTACCTGCATCGTAGTGAGACATGGACCTAGTGAGTATCGTTTCAAACACTGAAGTGTTATTCATAAAACAGCGTAACCACAAGAGCCAGTCTCTTTTCACTATTCAACAGTAAAAACACAGCTGGGGAACCTTCACATTCTTTTTATTCGTAAGATGATATCACATTACATGTACTGATAACGTGTTCTATTGCAGATTAGCAATTATGTAAGGAATTCAATATCTTCATACACAGAGATAATATTTAGATTTCAGACATACTTTTAAACTTTTTGTAAATAACCCTAACTTATATAAGTTTGAATAAAGGCTTAAAACTGTAGACTGACTATAAACGACATGCTGCTAGTTCATCTAAAAGACAAAGGATTATGAGAGAACTAGTATTTGAATACATTAATTCTAATGTAACTGAACTGTCCAGTACCAAGTCGGCTGATATTAGTCAAAAATATGTGTAGAAAATAAGAGACAACGTGGCAGTTAAATAGTTCTTTGTACAAACTGGTTCGCTAATAATAAATCAGACAACACTGAATCAGTTAACTCAATCAGTTCAAATTAAACAACAACGAAAAGTCATCTAGATGAAAACGCAATTACTATCCGGTGCAGTATGTGTACTACTTACAGAAGCATACAAGTAGTATATCGAACGTACTCATATTTATTACATTTTATACCAATAAGCATTAGTTTTGCAAACACAAATCCTGTTCTTTCAATCTCAGATAGCAATTAATCATCTCCGTCGTAAAAATGACTGGAATGAATATACGGCAATAATTTAATTCACATCTCTAGTGGGAATTAATGTTAAGTATTTCCATAAGTACAATCGTATCTACGTAATTCGTAATCCACCAAACAGCGATAAATTGATTTTAAATCAAAAGAAAATAAATGTCATCAATGAAAAAGGGAAATTAAATAAATAGTAGATACCATTATGACACTTTAGGCAATGATAATTAATCCTTAGAATAATAAAGCGAATACAGAGGCTTGAATTTAATACAATAATTATTGAATGCAATGGATGCTGCGTGGACACGAAGTGAAAGTCTGAGTCACGGCAGTATATGAACCAGCAACTTCGGAATCATAAGTTCAGAGCTCTGCTGGCTAGTCTGTGAGACAAAACTCCTGACCAGGTCATCATTTTACTGCAGTAATCACCGGTAATGTCTAGCTTCCATGTTAGTGAATGATGAGTTACTACCGTTTCACTATCACCATACTATCTGGTCATCTAGGTCAGCTGATTGGGTGTCGGACAAGTAATCCGTCAGCCACTGGTTTGAACTCTACTACTAACCAGGTTTCACTTCACCAACAGTCATTACTCATTACATCTGCTAACTAAAGACTATCTCAGACATACTCACCAAAAGTAAATTAACTTAGAAATTGTTTCATGTTTTCTAAGTTTTGGTAACTGACAGATGTTACATCGGTAAGCTTAGTGACATCTTTAGAACTAACTTCTTAATGAACATGTCTTCAGGCCTGCTGTTGAAACTTCCCTTATCAAATTACTAAGCTCAGGGAGCATCAAACAGCTTCCATTCTCATCGTGAATCTATGAAAATTCTGTATAAACTTAAGTAGTTTTGCGAAAAAGACTAACGAATAAACGAACACCCGAATGACTTTTAATAAAGTTTTTACCGCTTATAAAGAAGTTGAGATAGCTAACAAGAATAAGAAATAAAAAATATCACTTGCTTATTTAGAAGCACAAGTTCTGGGTTGGAGTCATCACGCAACCCCAATGAACAAAAATTCATGAATGATATGTCTCGCGCTTCATGCAATCAGTTATTGAATATTCTTAAGTGATGATGAACTATGTTACATGTGATTGATTTCTGAATTATACCTGTGTTTAATTTTCATGCATAAAGTGTTTTCAGAAATTTAGAAACATTTAGTGTAATCTGGAGTGCCTACAAAATCTTAATTGTCATCCGTTAATACGAATCCAGGTACTGAACAGCTCTCCATATATGTGCAGAACTTTAATGACAACCGGTTATTCAATTAGCTGGTGGAAGGAATGATCCCTTAACTCATTCCCTGAATATAAATTTGTTTGTTTATTATGGGTATTGATAACTCTGAGAAATCTGATGATCTTGAACGTTGAACTAATCTACGCAATTATTTAACTTATTCATTATACTGCAATGTATGTCGATCATTGTTTGAAAAGGATGTTATTATTTCCATTTCTACTAGCAGTAAATACCATAAAACATGATGGTTTATTAAATAAACAAGAATGGAGATTTCTGTTAACTGGTGGTGCTGGCTTAGATAATCCACATATAAATCCATCTGATTGGTTTTTTTTCCTTCACGTTCCCCAGTGGAACATAGGGCTTCAAGCTAGTGGCTTGAGGTTTCTGTAGCAGTGTTTATTTTTACAAGATGAGGTTGCCAGCCTCATGCCCAACCTTTCCTCTTTACCAGCATTATTTCTGGCTTAGCGAGGTAAAGGAGTGAGTCGGCTGGGGATCGAACCCCGGACGATGTGCATGGTTGGCGAGCGTCCTCACCGCTATGCCACCGACGCACTACCTGATTGGTTACAACCAAAAAATTGGGTTGAATTATGCCGATTAGATGAAATTACGCTATTTCGTGGAATACGTTAACATTTTGAAAATAATATTGACGCATAGAAACGCATATATTGTAGCACTGAACCGCATAAAGAGAAACTACCATCTGATTTATCACATATTAAAACACAAATACAATATTTATGTATATTACGTGCTCTACGACCGGATAAAATTCTACCAGCTGTGCAAAATTTTGTTTTAGAAAATTTAAGCAAACAATTACGGCGTATCTTCACAAACACTCCTCTTTCGCGTTTAGGAGTAAAAGACTGCCTAATTTCAATTTAATTGCTCCTGTGGAGCCAGTTCCATAAGCCGCACAATTAGGCGTGTTTCTCGTTGGATTTCCGAACATCACCCTGCGTGGTTAAGCAAAGGACAAACAGAATCTACTCACAGCACTATTCTATCTCATATTTTGGATATAGAACACAAGATTGACGTTAACCATGCTTTCAGGGTCATTTACCGCATAACTACGAATCTCAGTTTTGCCTTAAGAGTTCGACTACTAAATATTGCTGAGGCTGTGGGGATCCATATAAACAAGCCTAGTTTGTGCATCCAAAAGAATTTAGTTCAGGCATTACCCTTACCCTGGCCATGTAGGTTTGAGTGATCCTGAATTTTTGTGGAATTTTCCTAATTTTGGTTGATATTCTGTTTACTATTATATTTTTATTATTATAATAATTCAAGCATCTTTAATGAACTGTAATTGCATTGATCTTAATTTACAAATCAATATTATTTAAAAAAAACACTAACATTGTTATTGACTACTAATCTAGAGTATTCTATGTATATAAACATATATATGATTGTAGAGGCAAAAGAGGAATTTATCGAAAAGGATATTCTTTGCTCAATTATTTTGTGTTTTAATAACTTTGTTGCGACAAGAATAAAATGAATGAATGAAAGTAGAAATACAGAATAAACGGAGAAAAATAACCGCCAAGGCTATTAATTTTGTCGCTACTTACCTATAACTGGGGACAGAAAATACCCCCCAATGAATGAATATTCCAATTTTCGCTTTGTCATACCAAGCAGGCAATGGACGCTTATCCAATGATTCCCAATTAGGTTCATATTTAATATTCGTGTGCTTTGATATTAGGCTGGTGGAGATTGTCGATTGAATTACACAGCATAGTAATATGAACAAATAATGAATAAGAATTCGCATTATGCAGCTACACCGTTGTTAGACGAATAACTGATTAGAACACTGTAGTGTGCTAATGATGTAGTCTGGAAAAAAACGTATCTCATAGTTGTTTTAATAAACATAATTGTTTGACCAATGAAATCACTTCGACCTTGTGATTGGTTATATTGTGACCTTGACAACTGTGATACAAAGCATAACGAGTGAATTGTATCTGTCCTCATGATTGAAATCATCTCTCATAGTATCCAGATATACGAATATACACCATAACGCTCTAAATCTGTGTGACTGGTTACTGAATGTTTAATACGGAAAATTTATGCTGTAAATAAACATTAGCCTCCAGGTCATAGTTATCATGTACATGAAGAACATATCCGGTGTGTGTAATGGGGATATTGTTATCATGATAGCCATATAAATCATTCCTTAACGGAATTCATGTGCATCTAAATAATTCAGGTCACTTTGTTCCACCAGGACCATTTAAAAAAATTATCTACAGAGTAAACCTGTACACAGGAATCTTAAATTTCGAAACTTAAATATAGTGGACACGCTAGAAATTCGTCAAAATAAGTCTCAAATCTGTATGTAGAAAAATTATATGCACTCTGTCATTTGCCAATGTCTTAAACCCCATTTAACTTATTGGGTTTTGTTTTCAGTTAATAATTCAAAACTTCCTCTCCTAGCATATTTGTTCTGCGAAGTACTTGTTTTCAAATTCTTCATACTTGATAAGTAGATGAAGAAGTCTCATACTGTCAAATTTCAAATCCTTATTTTCATGATCTTGTTGATTGTTATGTAACTCTTTCCTATTTTTAGAAATCCTATTAGAAGAACTGTATCAGTTATGTTTATCTTCACCGCCATTATTCATTTATTTAGCATTATACGCTCTTGTAAGTGTAAATATGATTTTTGAGGCCTTAGAGATAATTTTTTTCTTCAAACGTCTCTTTTCTGAAAATTTTTTTCAAGTTCACCATCGAAAGAAACAAAGTACTGTGGAAAATTAAGATTCAGGATGCGTTTTCCTGAAAGAATGATGGAATATTTTGACTACCTAATTCCGAAAGGTGTATCTAAGCAACTTAATTAGACTTCAACTTAAAAGACACTTCTTATTATTTATTATTCCTTCTTTGCATTCTCAAATGGAACATAGGATTTCAGTACCATGTCGTCACTGCACTTAGTCCATCAGACTAACATTTAACTGGCCAGATGAATTCCAAATGCGTTTTCCCCCTCTTCATATTATCTCCTCCATGTCAGACGGAGACACGAAACTTGTCATTTCCTACTGTGGTTCTAATCAGGGGCCTCTTGTACAGCGTCACTCGCACGTCTCCTCAGATTACGTTATCTTACAAATTCATTGAATCTTCATATTTCGCATGCCACCTTTTTCCTTCTCTGAATCTCTCAATGCTCTTTTCTTTTCTCTACTTCAGTGTGCTACTTAGAGTGTGGTAACTTGAACCACTGCACTTCTGTGCAAAGTGCTATGCTGAAGGTCAGCCTGTCTTTGGCCAAGAAACACTACTGATAGCCACATTTGGTTTCCAAATATTCATATCAATTTGTAGTAAGTGTCATGTTTCAGAGTCTTGTTTTCATAAACCTTTGTCTTTATAATTGCTGAAATTGTTATTAAAATACTTTCTTCCTGTGTCAAGTTTATCAGGAGCGTGTAGTTCCCGTTTTGTTATATTTCAGAACAAGCTTCTTTCTCACTCGATAAGGTTATGAATGCTGACTTCAAAAGAATCTCAAACAAGGACACAACAGGTGCCCATCAGTAGTTTGTTTATCAATAATTTTGAAATCCCTATGATTTATTATTACCATAAAAATTCTAATAAAATTAAATATTTTGTTTACGTCTCCATTTCAGACTGTTTTCTGATGTCTTTTTAGCTAACTCAGTGATAACCTACAAGTTTTCATTTCTTCTTCATACGATGTCCCTCATTTCAACTTTTGACTAAGCCTAATTCAGTGCTTCTTAGTTGGGTTCTATTTGAGTGCTTGATTGGATTACGACCTCGGTCACTGGTCTAGTCAGTGTATGTCCAGTCTATCTTCATTTTCCTCTACATATTTGTAGGTTGGGTCCCTACCAGAGTTCCTTATTGTTTATCTTTTCCGGCCAACTGGCCATCTGATTTGGTATCGAGCCACGGCATCTGTTGATGAAACTCTGCAATCTACTGTTGAAAATGTTCTTCATGGCATGCCAAGTGTCTGAACTAACTCGACATTGGTGTTGAAAATTCAGATTTTGCTTCGAATGGTGAGTGCTGTAGATTACCACACTAATTTAAGAGTAATAAACGTAATAAACGCCGCCTTAGTGTAAAACATTTAAATTTGGTCTGATTTAAAAAAATATATTCACTTATTATGTATCATACTGAGGTATTTAGCTTCTCTTAGGTTTTATGCAGTAGAGACTAAATAAATTTGAAGAATCCCCAGAAATTACAACTGAAATCAAATTTTGTACCCTCTGCAGCTGAATGTGATATTTTTTAGAGTTTTTTTTTAAGAGAACGCTATTGGTGAGAACAGATCTAGTGTTTATTAAGAAACAATGCAATCAAGATTATAAATATCATAAACATCGCATTGAATTTACAATTCCTATATAAAACGATACATTTTATTTTCGTCATATTTTGGTGGTCGTTTTCTTTTGTATAATATATTTTAGTCCAATAGCTTTTCCATTTAATTACAAATTAAAATCACTTCTCTGAAGATGCCATCCTGTATATACTACTAAAATGTGTTTATAAGTAGTACACAAAGATAAATCCCAACGTGATTTTTCATTAATTCTCTTACTTTGAATGGTAGTCATCTTAATTCCTTTGGTAGAATAATCTAATATTCAGGCACTTGTTTATAATATTCTTCATTACGTTTTCGTCTTACACCTGTTTCTTGTCTCACCTTTCTTTTCGTCATAGTAGTGGAACTCTCTCTCTTTCTATCTCATAATTTGTTTGATAGTCATTATTAGATCTTGAACTGTTGTCATTTTGTTTCCCCTCCTCTCTCTCTCTCTTTTGAACCATTACCGATACTTATTTGACAAAGTTGCCAAGTATTCCACAGTGGTTAGTATGGCACAGTGGTTAGGACTCTCGCCGACCATGCACATGGTCCGGGGTTCGAGCCCACGCCGGCGCACACCTGATATCTATGGTCGACCCGCAAAATTTGGGCTACCGATATCCATGCTGAAAATGCCATACTTGTACCAAAAATACAGTGTGGAATCAAGCTGTAAATAAAAAAAAAATATACATAAACTCAGTAATAGAGAGAATAAAATTTACATTTGAATTAGAAAATGAACAAGGAGAGTTAGATATGTTAGATTGTAAAAGAAAACAAACAAAAAAAGGCAAACTGTAATAGCGTTAATAAAAAACCAACACACTCTAACAGATATTTGGACATAAATTTGTCTCATCCATTATCTGTAGAGGCAGACTTAGTTAAGTGTCTAATACACTGAGCAATAATTCAAAGTAGTACATCAAAAAACCAAAATGATGAAATGAAACAGTTGAAAGGAGATAAATAAAAATCCAAAGAAGTTGATTAAGAAGATTACAAATGCTTATAAGAAAAAGAAAAATAGTAATGGAACTCACTTAGGGACAATCAGATCCAATCAGACGAAATAATGTGATCTACAAATTACTTTGAAATGTCTGTGAGATCAGCTACATGAGTTAGATCGGTATATCATATGTTTTCAGATTATCGGTACATAATAATTTAGCTAAAGGTAAGATAACTTACAGCGGGAAGATGAATACTAAAAAGAAAAACTCCGTGATCGCAAGACATGTATTAGCATGCAACAGGGTGGTGTGGAGCTTCAGTTCTAAAAAATAATATAGGCAAATGGATGGTGAGGCTGACGACTGAATCTTTATTCCTCGAATCTACACGTAACACGTGCAACAAAAATGATGCAGCGCCAATACCAGAGATAAGGAAAATATTACCACCAGTAAAATCAGAGGATGAAAAATAATCGAATCAAAGAAACGAAGTTCGAAAGTTGTGTGAGTGCCTTGTTATGATTACGAGCGACAAATTATGCTCAAAAGGCCATCACCAGCAAACAATAACGTATCACTGTGATTTTATAAAATAGGATTATTTTATGATGGAACTATACATAGTTTTCACGTTCTATTCGTTTACTAAGTATTGATTTTCTTTGATATAAGTTTCTTCCTCGACGCCAACCATTTACAGTTGGAGAAGGAATTCAAAGTGCAATGAATACGTTTTTCAATCCTCTTTAGTACTTTTCAGTTGTGCGTATTCATAGTCGACTATCTAAACAAAAGCTGGACCATTAGCCGAGGAGATAAGAATCTTTCTACTGAACCGTTGGGTCAGCATTCGTTCAGTTATGTACTACGATCAATGTTAAAAGCTAACACCTTGTGATCAGGTTGGCTTCTTCCCAAAGATCCCTGTTGTTCATCTTTTCTGGTCATCTCATCTTGAGTAGTATTCAGGGAAGACAGCTTTTGGTGAAGGTCTGTAGTTTGTTCGAAGTGCCCTTCGTGACGCAGAGTCAAGTCTCTGATCCGTATAGTAGCACTGAATGCACACTGCAGTTGAAATGCGGATCTTGTTTTTCATACTCAGTGCTGTTAACCTCCACACAGACTTGAGAGAAATGAAAGCTTGTCTTGCTTTCCCAATCCTCACTTTGATATCCTTATCAGTTCTGTCCGCCTGTATTGGAAACGATACTTCCCAGGTAGGTAAAGGAGATTGCTTGTTTCAGATTTCTCTCATTTATGCTGATTGTTGTCTGTTGTTATTGTTACTGTTGGTGGTGCCCAGGAATCTTCATCACCTATGTTTTCTGTATGTTCACCTGAAGGAAGTCCTATCTTCTCAGGATGCTTCTGCAAACTTGTTGCTTTTCACTATCATATATTCCAGTTTGTGGGAAATCAGACATATATCATCGGCGAAGTCTAGATCCTCCAAGTTTTTTGTGTGTCCATTTTGCGCCTGTCCCCTCGTTGACCGGCCCGCTGTCTGTCGCATTATGCAGTCTACCGCAATCAAGAAAATCACTAAAGATATTAAGCAGCCTTGTCTATATGCAAATATTAAGTCTTTATTGAATATGGATGTCTTCTAGTCAACTGTGCAATATGACGTCTAGCCAAACAGATTTACAGATGAATG